ATAGCCATGAATGTACCAGTCCTACCTACACCAGCACTAACAAAACAATAAATAAATAAACACATTATGTATAAATTATAATATAAATACCTGCAGTGTACTAGCATTGGTCCTTTGGTAGGTTTGTATTCATTCTTAATTCTACGGTGAAACTGAAGTATTGATGTTGCATATTCAGGTACTCCATGATCAGGCCATGATGTGAAATGATATTGTGTGATCATCAATGGAGGTTGATCTGAACCCAATAACTATAAAATTTTAGTTGTAATTTTGTGTATTTTGTTCATTCTCTTACTGTCAAGTGTATTTTTCTAATGATGTATTCTGTTAGTACTTGCTCATCACTTAATGTTACACTGAATGGTCCATAATCCTTTGTATCTGAATCAGGCCAATACTGCTGACACTTCACTTTTCCTTCCTCCTTCACATTAGTAACCATTACAATAACAGGTGGCCTCTCCTGCCAAACTAGACACCAAAAATCAACAACTGTTTTTGATACTGGCCCTATAAAATATTAACATGTTAGATGATAAATTTTAGTATAGAAAAGTCTAGTATCATTATCAATAAAATAACTATTAGTAGACTTGATCAATTTATTGCTTGTAGCATAGTATTACCTTGTGTTGCAATGTATTGATATTCATCAGAATATCCCTAATAGAAATAATTATCCACTCTTGCTAATAGGTAAACATAAATATTTTTATTTATTCATTTATGTATAGACACAAGTGCCACAAAAGCAACAACAGACTTACATCAACATAGCATGCATTAATGTATCCATTTGGACAATCCTTATGGCCTGATATTGGTCTTAGTATAATACGATTGTCATCATCTAAAAATAACAAAAACACATTTAAAGCAGTGGGAAGAATAAATGAAGTTTAATGGCACATAATAGACTGCATGGCAAGCTGTCAGCAATACAAACTATGTAGAGATAAGATATGTTTCTAAGAATAGCATTGCACTGCAACAGAACTAATGTACTGTATTAGTATTAGAGCATTAACTTACAGACTACAATGTTTGCAAAACGATTTAACAGTTTATTGCTTGGAGTAAGACCAACTGTCGCTGTGTGGTCACTTTCACCACTGTCTAACATCTATTTAAAAAGATAACATAAGAGGCAATGAGAGTGAATGAGAATACAATTACTTCTTACCATAAATTGATTTTTAAACCCTTCATTCCCTTTAACATGTCCATTAGCAACAAATTCTCCAAATTGTCCAACAGGTATTAAGTTTTTACCATTTTTAACAGTCGAAGCAGCACCATTTGGCATTCTAGCCCCTTCCACTGCAACTGTGAGTACAACTTGTTGACTAACTGTTCCAGCATCATTATTAGCAACAAAACGATATGCTCCTTTATGTTTCTCCTCAACACTCACTAGCAATAGACTACCATCTCCTCTCAGCTCATGAGCATAATCCTCAGTCACTGGGTCTCCATTATGATACCAATTAAAACACAACTTTGTTGTTTCATTAACTTTAACTTTCAAAAGAACCTCACGTCCTTCCTCAGTTGTCACATCATTAGGAAACTCTTCTATCACTGGCAGTATAGGCTCCTTTACAGTACTGTAGGTTGCCTCTTGAATTCTTTCTACTGCAATAAGAAAACAAAATAATAATAAGTTGTTCATGCTGCATAATAAATACAATAATTGCTGAGATACATTTTAATAGCTGATCACAAAATTCAATGACACCTACATCCAATTTCTTCATATCCTCCATTATTATTATTAGACGTACTGTAAAGTGTTAAGTTTTGTTCAGCAATTGGTTTATTTTTTGAATTGACTATGTCATAATCATTTTTAAATCTTTTCTTCCTGTTATGTAGTAAATATTCATTGCACACAATTTAACACTTACTTTAATACAACTACAATGATAATTACAATTATTATGACTATCAGTAGTAATGATACAATAGCTCCAACTGCAATGAAAACAATAGTCATTGAGCCTCCGTTAGTAGTAGCAGGTATAACAGGAGTGGAAGTACCTATTCATTTAGTAATATATCACATTATAATTAAACCATTAAATCACTTGACCAAAAGTTGTAGCCATACTTGACATACAGATAATTGAAGTACTTGTAGTGTGGTTGCCATGTAACTGATGTATGACAAGTGACTTACCTGACATTTGAATCAGTGTTGATATCATTGCAGTCCTTGATACTAGAGTAGGAGTTAGAGCGACACCTAAACAATTTATATAATAAAGTTATATTTGACTTTGATATACCTGGTGGTATTGGTTGAGTCCTCTCTCCTTCATAAATGATTCCATTAACAATAAATGATGTAGATATAGAGAACAAGTAGTTCAGATTAGGATCTAATCCTCCTATTAGACCTTCAGTAGTATCACCTGGGAATACTCTCATTCCTGTCTCTACTTGTCTCTTCTTTCTTGAGGAGCTACTGGTTGACTCATAATAGACAGTATAATAACTAGCTCTAGAAACAAAACCCCACACAGCCCTCACCGCTGTAGAATTGAGCTTTGTAATAGAAAAGGTTTCAATGACAGCTAAAAATTTTAAAACATTGTGATCATAGTTTTCTCAGTAATATCTTACGTATTTCAATAGTAGTGTATTCTCTATCAGTCCATTCTCCTGGTCCAATACTAGTATATGCTCTCACTCCAATAGTATAACTAGTATTAGGTATCAATCCTGCTATATTGTAATAAGTGTTAGTAGTGTTAGTTATATTGTATGGACCAGTACTGGTAGACTCTCTATATTTTATCTCATATACTGTAATGATACCATTAGGTACTGTAGGAATTTTCCATACAATATTAATTGCATCTGGGTTTTTTCCATATCTTAGATCAGATATCACACCAGGAACTGTGTTAAGATCATGTTAAACTGATCAATATCTCATTGACTTACTTGATTCATCAGTTAATTGTATTTCTTGTCTAGCTGGTCCATTCATATTATAATTATAAGGTATTATACTCACAGTATAGTTAGTATATGGTATTAATCCTGTGAGATTATACATTCTGTTGTCTCCTCCAGTGATATTAATAGTATAACTAGTGTTTGAAGTGATGTTAGTGTATGTGAGGTAGAATCCAGTGATTGGTCCATTCCTTCCATTGCAAGGTGCTTCATCCCATGAGACAGTCATTGACACTGACTCTACTGACGAGAATATAATATCATCCACTGGTGCAGTAGGGGCTATAATAGAAGAAAATAAAATTTTAAGATAATAGATTTTACCAGATGAAAGTGTAGTAACTGGATGATCAGGATTCAAAAAAGCTATCTCAGCTCCATATATTCCAATAAGACTGAAGCCACATTGACTGTAAGGAGGTATACCAGTTGAAGTATGTGGTGATGAAACTGATGCATTGGTAGTACTAATGATTGATGATTCACATACTCTTCTACATCTCCTATTAATATTATAACTAGTTGGTACTACAGGAGTTGGTGGACTCCATGTTAATGTAAGGCAAGTACTTGTAACTAGTGTAACCATTAAATAATTAACAACTGGATCACCTATAATATAAAATTAATGCTATTTTCATTTCATTAATAACTTACTAATTGTTAACAGAACTGAAGCATTACCACTAGGTAGAGAAACTGATCCATAAGATACTACATGAAAAGTGTATGTACTCCCAAGAATCAATCCTGATGTTATATTGATTGTTGTTAAACTAGTGTTGAATACACTAACAGGAGTATTACTAGACAGTTGATAGTAGACCTCATAACCAGTAGCTCCTGATACAGTAGACCAGGAGAGTCTTACATGAGCTAAACCAGTACTTAATCTTGTAGCATTTAAACTAGTTGAAGTATCAGATACTAAAGATAAAAGCATAAGAATTAATAATTAATAATGATACAAACCTGATAAACTCAAAAATGCAGCACTATTTAATGCCTGGACACCTCCAATAACACCATTATTGCCATCAGTTACTCTGTCATTATATACAGTACACTGATAGTTACCAGCTTCTCTCAGTCTCACTGTTACTGTCACTCTTGTAACAGATCCTGATCCATTCACTATCACACGAGACAGTTCAGTAGATATTCCATTCCCATTCACTGAACAAAGGACAGTAGTAGGAGGACCATCA